TTTCAAATAGTGAAAGTAGTCAACTCCGGCAATCCATGAGCACTAACAAAACCTATTGCTGAACATTTTGTTCATCACCTTCGGCGTTCATTGAATTAATTTGGGTACTGTATTTTAGTACATCATGTCACTATGACGATCTTGGTGCGTGTGGTCAAGTTGAAAAGTATCGTTTTATATCGCGAAAAATCGCGTAGAGTTTGTTTGTTTGAAGTTAAGCACAAAGCTACACAATGGGCTATCTGTGCTCTGCCCACCACGGGTATCGAAAACCGATTTGTAGCGTTCTAAGTCTGCAAACATCCGGCTGCGCCACTGGGGGGGGGGCATCGTGTAGAGATTTGTAAAGATTTGAAATTATCAAACCGCTCAATTCATATATTATAAAAGTAATATCCTTGCAATATGATAGACCTAAGCTCTGTATCATGTAACTATTCATTGGCGTGTTTAATTTGATTTCATAATTTTATTTGTAATTGAAAACTGCTTTAATTTAATTGGAAATAAACGATTTTTTTTCCTTGTCAAGCAAAAACTATTTCAATAACTACGCAATTAATATATTCAACTTAGAACAATTCCGTCAACGGTTATAATTAGCTTTTTTTTACGCTAAAACACATAATTTTATAGTTCCTACACATCTGCAAATAAAAAAAGTTAACACAAATCAGGCCTGAATGTGAGAGATCCGAAAGCTTTCTTGATATAGGAATTAACTAAACGGAGAAAGAAAAAAAAAGCGTTTAAAATACTTTAATTTGGGAAGCAAGACGTCTACGATTTTTGAGTAAACTACATGCTAGAAATGCAAGCAATAAGTGTAAGGCATTTTTTAAGGGGCTTTTACAAGAAATATTCTAACGTAAAAGCTTTTTAGTATTTGTTTTTGTATGCTCGCTAGTACAGCTAATGTTATATATATATATATATATATATATGCATACAAACACAAATATATATCTAATATTAAATTTTTGGTCCAGAAATCTTTGGTCGTACTAGTAATACGAGGTGCTTTTAAGATAGATAATTAAAAAGGATAATTATATGAATCTACAAACTTGCCTTGTTAATTTATTGATCGAGGTGTCAGCCAAGTTTCCGTTTTGACTTCTGTGACTGTTGATTACCTTCTAATACATATTTCTAAATATTTTTAGAACTTTCTAAATTACCTCTCGAAATTAAATTTTAGATTGATGACTATAAAATACAGTTTTTTACATGGCATTTAAAAATTCATCCACCGACTTTCCTCAGCACGTGAAACAGCATAAAAATCTTCTTGTTGCTACAGCTGTAATTCTACTACTAAATTGGTTTTAAGGTAGTATTAACACAGATCTTTCTTTCAAAAAGTCCTGTATTTTTATATCTATATATCACCTTTAATATAGTATCATTAGATTGGATCGATACGTGTAAGGCGTGTAAGTGACGTTCGTGCATGTATATATGAAAATGAACCAGACAAATGACATTTATGACTTAGTCAGTTAATCTCTGTGCCAATTTTCCCTTTTCAATATCATGTTGAACAAGACTGTAAACTGATTAAATTGTTTAAAATTAATTATTAGTTTGCTGTTCATACATGACAGTCCTGTCTTCCCTTCGCTGTCATGTCCAGACTACGGGGAAGGAATAACTACATCAGGCTATTAGCTATAGAGCCTTAGCCCGTTCAGACAACGGATCGGCGTCGATGTTACTAAAAGGAATTACTTCAGCTATGTAATGAAAGATCATATGGAACGAGTTGAGCTTGTTTAAATTTCAAATTGTTATCAGACTTAATACCTTCACCCATCTCTCCAGCAGCACACGTACCATCTATGTACAAATGAAAGATGAGTATACGTATGTATATATGAGACGTCTTTCATCAAATTATGTAACTTAATTGAAACATTCTGTACCAAACCTGTGCATAATAGCAGCATATTTGAACTACTACAATAAGTCTGTCCCATGTGATCGCTTGACTATATGAAATGTGAACAATTCCATTGTAAATCAAAGGCACGCACACGGTCAATATTGTTCAAGAATAGCTCGCAAGGCGAGTAGGAAGTGTACGTTACTGGCATGAAACACACTAACATGTAAAATTTAGACTATCTTCTGTATAACAACAGATGAGATAATCAATACAATTTGAAAAAGCGAAAAAAACAACAACAAAAAACACGCTATTTTGGTACTTAACCTCGATACTATATATTCCATACTTAAATGCATGTTTGAGAAACAACTCCAATATTATTTTACAACATACATAGAATGAAAACATTTTCAGACGTAATTTAAGATGTTTGTGAAATTTGATCAATATAAGACTATGGAAAGAAAAGTACAATGCTTTAAAAGAATAAATTATCTCGAAATATTAAACAAAGTTCGCGAATGAGTATTTATTAGATTAATTCCTAGGTTTTATCAAGCATTACTGTATGTTATTCGTAATGTGAAGTTTCTACGGGAGACGTTAAAATTTTTTCTAATATTGCACAATGTAAAACAATTTCAGAGAAAAAAATAACAGTTTGTATTCCCTCTCCTGTAATTTTCACAGCCAAAACTAAATTGAAAACATTACTTTCTCTTTTATTAGAATTTTGATGTTGAAAATAAATTTTGCTGCTCTTTAAACTGTATTTATAATGATAATCTCTTATTGAAAATACGCAAGTTTTAATATATTAAAAAGTTTCCTGACGGTAGAAATGTCGTAAAAAAAGTGATAATTAAGCGCACTCAATGCTTTAGAAAACAGAAATACGAGTTTCACTATTTCTATAACTTCATAATGATATTGTATCACAATTTAAGTTACAAAAATTATCTCTGTCTGTTTACGTAGATGTAAAATTGTATAAGCAGCGTAAAAAAAAGGGTACTACAAACCTCTATGAACTTACGATTTTGGGTGACATTAATTAGAAGTTCCATAAATGATACTCATGTCAAACTTAAGTATAACTAACTTATCATAATTTAAACACTATAACCTTCTAAGTCTACACATTAAATTCTGAGTTAATTAATCAGAATACACACAGCAAACGCTCAAAAACATTAAATTCAGAGTTAACTAATCAGAGTAAACACAGTGAATGCTTAAAACACATTAAAATTAGAATTAACTAATCAGAACATATACAATGAACGTTCGAAAACCTTCGCTTTTTTTTTCAAAACTAAAATTATTATGTGTTGAAATCCCATGCATGTATCAAATAAAAGATAGCCCTTAAAATTCAATATGTTATCATTTTCTCAGAAACGCCGAATTGTGTACAGTTTTAAAAAAGTACTTTCTTGTTCACATTAATTATATTTAAATTAAGGAGATCCATGAGTTGCTAGCAAATCTCCTGAAAATTTTCAAAAAGACTAAAACATAACTTTGGAAATAGTACGTCATGGTACCATAATTTATCATTTTATGTATATGTGCTTATTTTCATAGAAAGATACAACAAACAAAACTTAAGAATTTTTTTAATTTTCACAAATTCCTCTCGAATGAGCAGTGTTAACTGGAGTATTTATCAAGAAGAAATTTGTTAAATTAACAGAAAAACATCTACTTAATTGCTCAAATGTTCATGTTCGTCCTTTTTTATCTCGATTTAATAGTATTTATTTCAATTTTTTACATGAGAACCTAACTAAACAAATAAAGAGTTAATGTTGTTTTAATAAGAACTTTCACCAACTTGTATTTTTCATGAGTTACGAAATAAAGAGTTAACGTTGTTATAATAAGAATTTTCATCAACTTGTACTTTTTATGAGTTACCAAATAAAGAGTTAACGTTGTAATAAGAACTTTCATCAACTTGTATTTTTCATGAGTTACCAAATAAAGAGTTAACTTTGTTATAATAAGAACTTTCATCAGATTATATTTTTCATGAGTTACCAAATAAAGAGTTAACGTTGTTATAGTAAGAACTTTCATCAACTTGTATTTTTCATGAGTTACCAGTCCCTGTACTTGGGATTCGTATCCTGACGTCGATTGTTGCATAAAAGCCGAAATACCATATCAAATACGAAGTTTTAGTGAAATTAGAAAAAATAGTATTTTTACATATTCGCTAATTATCTCATATTGTGGATTTTAATCAAGTGTTACAATTTCCTGCCCAAATTTTTTCATTATCTTCTGTTGATCAGATGTGACTTAAGAACGTTTTGTCTCGAAATTTGACCAGACGAGTAATATAATAATATTGAGGTTCATAAGTCTATGTTTTTGAGAATGATACATATTCAAATATGGAAAGTGTGCATCCAAAGCCTATAAGTTATTGATTATACGTTCAATCGATACTATTTCAAACTGAAAACTACCTACAAAATTAATAAGTGTAAATAAATTAAATATACAGTGAAAGTAAATTGTGTCCTAATAACAATGAAGGTGTATTTCTCATATTTATTGAGTTAAAGAGCCTTGGTTGTTCTATGCACGACGCCCAGAATGGCCCAAAAATATATTCTTCTGAAGTCAAAGAGCCATTATTTTATTGAATTGGTATTTTATGATTATCAGTGATTTGTTATGTTTGAGGATTGCAAAAATTAGTATATGAAACACAAGGATAAATTATCAAGAGTTATCATGACTCGTAGAATAGGGTTAGTTAGAAAATTGTAACTTTAAATTACCTTTATTTATTGTTTACATAGTAATTTATTATTAGAATAACAACTCCGCTTTTACGCTTTTCTACGTTAATTTACTAATTTAGTTCACTTTACAAATTTTAACTGATAGCCATATAATAGTGGAATTAATAGACCTTTGATCACACTGTAAACATATTCTACGTATTTCTAAATTTAATGTATAACGTACTATCGTAAAAAACGCAACAGTTCATTCACGGGTCTTCTCTTCTTGTTTGCAGTGTTTTAATGCTTAAAATTTGCTAAGTATTAAGACGATTTTCCGCTTAAAGTATGAAAAACGTATTATTTACCTTCTTCAAACTCCCTGTTCCGAAAATTCTCTTTCTTTCTCCCTCGAGAACGCGCTGCCTCGCTAACCAAAGTCTCCGAAATAAAGATTAGGAATCCCAGCAAGAAACAGAGGAAAGAAGAACAAGTTGTTTTAATCTCCTTCCTGAACCACATCACCACCTTTCGAGTATTTACTCACAGTTGCAATACGAGTCAATAAAGAATTTTAAATCACACGCACTGTAATATTCAAGTTCTCGCGCCTGCGTCTAGGCACGTGGGTAAATCTACTTTGGAAACCTTTACATTAGACAAAAATTTTAAATACTTAACTGAAATGTTTCGAATTCAGTTGACGTTCGGAGTGGATCGAAAACTAAGTAGCAAGCGTCCAAGAAATAAACTTTTAATTGAGTTTGTGGTACTTCGCGAACACTATTTGAAAGAAACAAAACCGGTTTCAACTTGGAATTAAATTCAACTGTATTGTTATCCGTTCTTTATGTGTGTGTGTGTTTGTCTGTAGTTCATGAATTGCGGCTTGTTAGTGCAAAACATGCATTTCCTTTTTCTTGTTCAAAACAATTGTGTCTTCGAAATTCACAAAATCTCCTAAATCGATATAGTTTCTCATGTGTTTCTTTAGAACAAAAAAATTACGTGTTTTTAACTCTGTATTTTACACCTCTATCTAAACAGCACTAGGTTGTTTTATCCAAGTTGCTTGCCCCCACGGGATTTGCACACACATACACCTCCGCGCGCGCACGATAGACCCTTGCACCCTAACGTACTCAATCACGAAGTGCAAAAAAGTTAAAACAGGTTGAGTTCTATAACATTGTCAGCAGAAGTAGGCTGCGAAGTGAAGGATTGCTTCTTTCTTATCTAGCTGAAACTCCTTAACTAACAACGCTTCTGATTGGCCTTCAGGAAAGCTAAGCGTCATTGGCTGTAAGTAGTGTTATCAAAGTATTCTATCAGTGGAAGTAAGACAAAAATGTGTATTTTTATCTTGAGGGTTGCCTGCAGTAGCAGTAATATACTAAAAGGGGCCGTACTAAATATTCATATGAAACATAATTGTTCCGATAATTTGATGAAGAAAAAGTAGCAACAGATACACTAACGAGACTGTCACAGGAAAACTTGTAAATAATTTACTTTTATTCAATCCCGGATTAATATCCAATACTATTTTTATTCTATCCGAGGTTAATGTCCAAAACAGTGAATTTATTTGGATTAAGAGATAAAACTGTTCTAAGAGTCTAGAAACACGCAGTTCTAATGCATATCAAATTATCGCAATGTATTGCAAATAATTCGACTTAACAAACAACAACCAAGAAAAACAAAAACTAAGTCTTTACATTAAGAACAAACGTAGTTTCAGCATGCTTTGAACTCATTCCGACAACAGAAGTATAACCATGAGTCCCGTTTCTCTAGTTTTTGCTGTGTTTGTTTGTTTGTTTTTGAATGTCGCGCAAAGCTACACGAGGGCTATCTGTCCCTAATTTAGCAGTGTAAGACTAGAGGGAAGGCAGCTAGTCATCACTACCCACCGCCAAATCTTGGGCTACTCTTTTACCAACGAATAGTGGGATTGACCGTCACATTATAACGCCCCCACGGCTGAAAGGGCGAACATGTTTGGTGTGACGGGGATTCGAACCCGCGACCCTCAGATTACGAGTCGAGTGCCCTAACCACCTGGCCATGCCGGGCCCATTGCTGTGTTTAAAGTTATATTACGTGAGTTTTTGTGCACTAATAGAGGTGAAAGGGAAAGAGTAAAAAGAGAGAACTGGAACTTAAGGTATGCAATTTATGAACGCAATACTTTCCATAAACATCAACAGTGAACTTATCCTAGAGCTTGAGTATGTGTTTATAAACCCTGATATTAATGAAGATTCAACGCCCACGTATCAAAGTGTTGTTGAAACGTTTTCTTATCCCATAAAATGAATGATGATAACAGTAAATTTAAGCATAACAAAGTTATCTTAAGAAAGAACGCGATTCTTTAAGAGAATCGTGTGGTGAATCTCATAAATGAGCATTAAATGTGTTCCTTTTTTTCTTTTTTTGTAGCAACTATAATAATACAGATTCTGTTAGAACAAGGATAGTTTTATTATTATGTAACCATTGAAAACGAACAAGAATTTTGATTATTTCATATTGTTATAAAACAAAACGCAGTAGCCTTCCGAGTAAAACTGATCTCGTAACTTATTTTACAACTTTTTAGTTTCTTTTTTAATTAATAGGACCAAAAAACAGATGTAGAACGCCTCCCAAATTTAACTAAAAACACTCCCTATATAAACCGGTACACAAGAGATAACAAGTCACAAAAGACGATGTAACTTTTATATAGATGTATATGATTTCTGACTTTACTATAGAACGACACTAGGTTTAATCACATTTATCGACCTACGAAGAACTAGTAGTGACCTCTGTTGGTTGTTGTTCTAATTTTATGTGCCCAAAGATAGAGTATTGTAGCAATATTCTTTTTGTCGATAAGTAAACATTTATTTCCAAAGTTTTATGTGTGTTTCAATAAAAATACAAAGTTTTATGTGTGTTTCAATCAAAATAAAGTTTTATGTATGTTTCAATCAAAATAAAAAGTTTTAAAGTTTGGCAAATTAAGGAGTTGAAAATTAAGGATATATTAACAGGTAATTTAGAACCTTAATCATAAATCTTTATAGAATTGTTTACTTTGAGTTCGAGATAATGGAGCTGAAATATAAAGCTTACTCAAACTTTATAAGGTTGGTTTTTGTTTTTTCGCAAGTATAAATACAAAGATTTGTATGAATATGGAAAAATGTTTGTCTTCTTGATATATTTTTAAAACAACTGTAAACATTCTCAAGTTTGTATAACGAGAACAGAACAGATGAGAAGCGTTAGTGTTCTATTAAACAAATTAAACATTTCAAGTAAAAAATCCATACTTACAGTTTTCGAAACAATCTTAGCTAAATAATATAACATAGTAAGTCACAGTTTTATGTTACCGATTTATTATATTTTGTTCCGTATCAACATAATATTAACTTGCTATGCACGTATGTCCATGTTAACTTGCTATGCATGTATAGATCCACCAAACATTTGCTCGATACTCAATAAACTTCAGACTGTTTCCCTCATTGCATTTGTTCAGTAACTATTAGGAAACATTTTATGCATACTTTTACATTGCAAACTACCATTATGGAATTTCATGTGACATAAAAATATGTTACCCAGCGTGATTTTCTGCTGTTTCGTTTTTCCCTCAACCATTAAACATGATTCTTATTTAGAGTTATTCAATCCATCAATGGTATCAATGAATGTGGAAAAGAATTTGTTCTAAATACATACGTATACAGTGTCCCTATAGCGCAGTGGATAGCGCGTTGGATTTTTACTCCAAATGTACCGGGTTCGTTCCCCGGCAGAGATGTCACCATCGTTGCTTGGTCCCAAGTCCAGGATGAGAAAGGAGGAGGGTTGGACGCGGGGCTAGCAACTCCGCCCCGTAAAAACCAACCTGCTAAAAAAATACTGCAACAACAACTTCCGTCGGCGAGGTGTTGTTGGGGGCCCTATGGGAGTCTACAGGGATTATTATTATTTTTATTTTACATACGTATACTTTTCAACTAGACAAAGACCCTTAAAGTGACAATTTGGCACCAAATTTTCAAACACGTTTTTAACTGTAACTTCACATCTGTTTACGCAATAGACTTCACACTTGGCATAAATATGCATTATTAGTGTATCTATAGTGTGTACTAAGGTAAAGTTGGTAAGAAGGTTGGTTTTAAATGACCATTAATGATATACTGTAGCAATTGTCCTACTAAAGGCATTCTCATTAGTGCCATAATTTGAGATCTTGGATTGATTTTCAAAGTTTTCCTTGGTTCAGAATAATTCTTCACATCCCAAAGTCTGGACCCATTTTCAAGAGCATTCAATCAGGTTTGTAGAAGTTATCTTTCGTATTTCCCTATTTCTATAATATGCAAATTAACCACAGTGGTGATGTTACACAACACATGCCAAAATATGTCTTTGTACCTATTTCAATATATTTTCACACAAAAAGTATAGATGCTTTTTCCTGATTAAAATGCCAAAACCTAAATGTAGAGGGTATATAAATGTAAAGGGTATATGCTACCTTAAATAATAATAATAAAACACTGATATGTGGGTGCTCCATACCACCAAGACCCACATTTAAATTACCAATCGTTGTCTTGAGCTAGATATAGAAAAGTAGATGCTCTCTATAATAGACGTTATTAACTTAACATCTTAATCAAGGTCGGAGAAGAGTTTTTTTATAGGTACAGACGCAATTGCTAGTGATATGTAGGTGTTTTGTTTGTGAACTAATTTCAGTGTTCACCAACATAGATTTATATATTTGGGCTTGTTTTCAGTAATTTTAAATCGACAGAAAAATAAGACGTGAACGGGTTCAAACTTGTCTGGTCAAACATGTCGGGTTCGACATAAAAAAAACAAAAATAAAATACTAAAGTTTTGGATTTTTAATACAATATATTAATAGCTTTAGAGAGCTTTACGTTTTCAAAATATGTTAAACTTAGCCAATTTTTCAAACACCAGCAAGAAGGAAATTTTTGTGTATATTAGCTAAAGGTGTAATACAAAAACACAAATAATGAACATAATACGTGATAATGTAGCAACGGCCTAAACATAATAATTTAAATAAGCTCTTTCCATGGGCCCGGCATGGCCAGGTGGATAAGGCGCTCGACTCACAATCTGAG